GGTGAGTTCTCACCGTCTCACATCGCATCTGGATCCATTCACGCAAAGCACTTGCTGCTGTTCGTTTTGAGGTCATGACAATTGTAAAGCATCTGTGTGCGTGTGTGTACACACACACACACACACATTTTAAGCTTCTGTAAAGAGGCGGACAGAATTTCCCCTCGCTGCACAAGTGCAGCGACCATCACCCAAATCCACTGCCATTCTGTTGATTCCAACTCGAGAGTGAGCCTCAGGGACCCAGTCGAACTTCCTCAGAGGGCTTCCAAGCCTGCAAGTTCTTGACAGGTGCATACTGCCACAGTGTTCTGTAGAGCAGCGGGTGGGTTTGAACTGCCAGCCTTTGGGCTAGAAGCTGAGCACGTAACCACTTTGCCACCAGGGCTGCTCATTCAGAGGGAATCGCTGTGTGTCGTGATCAACTCCACGGCAGTGGGTTTGATTCCACTTGTTGGTCAGGGACTTGGACGTACTGAGTGCTGGAACTCCTTCCCAGTTTCTAAAAGGCTTTGATCCTCGTAACTGTGCCGAGGAGGGGGGATGCATCCCTGTTTTACAAAGCAGTAAACTGAGGCTTCAAGAGCTTTCAGTGCCTTGCCCACAGTTGCATCAGAAAATGATGAGACCAGGCCATGGCTCCTGATGGAGTGGCCTCCTGTCCCTCCCTCTTCCCTTTGGCAGCTTTCCCACCCAACTCCTCTGTCTCCCATGCTTCTTCCTTGCTTGCCCTTCCCACTCCAGACATTCTGGAGTCTTCACTTCATCCCTCATCGGTCCACATGTGGGTTTTCTTAGCCATGCTCCCCTTGCTAACCCAGCCAACAGTCTGTGCTGCCCTCTCCCGCTGGTGCGCCTTCCGTCAATGCCTTGCTCAAAAGCACCACAGGGCTTTTACCTAGAACTCAGTACTCAGCACCGCGCAGTGCTTCGGGGATGCCTTCTAGAAGGGGCGCTCGCTCAGAGAAATGCACACGAAATGGGCAGTAGCAGTGGGCTTGGTCAATGGTCAGCTCTGAGCACATGGCCATTGGGGGTGGACTCAGGCGGACAAGGCGGAGCAGGACTGGGCTCAGTGTGGGGCTGGAAGAAGCAGTGGCAGCACACAGGAAGAGGCCAGCCTCCCCAGTTGGATGGCCACTCACTCAGCCATTCACCCCTTCATTCCACAAGTCCTTCATTATGATCACTATATCTGGGTCATGGGTCTCTAGCCTTAAAACTGATCCAACTCCTGCCCTCGCGGCGCTTGCAGTCTAGTGGAGGAAACAGACCTGAAACATGCGAACGTATAGGTGCACACTTACAGATTGGCACAAGGGTTCGAAAGGCAGCGTGAGCATGTGACAAGAGCAATCGAACAGTGAGCAGAGATCAACTTTGGATGGGGAGGGACTGGGTCAGAGATTGAAACCGGCCCAGCTATTCTGTGAGACCTCTGGGAAGAGGGGGAGCCCCCCAGAGACAGTGTGCACGAAGAGCGTTCCAGACAGGAGGCCCAGGGTGCAGGGCAGAGAAGTGAGAGGAGGGAGGAAGGGCAGGGAGCCGCATGACCTCATTTGTGTTTCCAGAATATTCCTCTGTGTGGGAAAGCACTGTGGGGGGATAACAGTGGAAGCCAAGGGACCAGCAAAGAGGCTGTGAACATTTTAGGGAGATGAGGGGGCATGGGGCAGAGACCCCCGGAAGGTGTTCTGGCCCGGAGTCGGGTGCATGACTGAGTCCCCAGGGAGCCGCTGTTCTTGGAGGTGAAGCTTCCCTTTCATGGGCTCTGAAAAAGACAGGACTGGGAAGCCATCAGCCGGGAGAGATGAGGGGCCGTGGCAAAGGCCGGTGGCAGGATGATCCGGTGTCCCACAGGCTCTTCTCTCCCCTTTCCTCAGGGCCACACCAACGTTATCTCCTGCCTCTGCGTCAGCGAAGACAGGCGGTGGATTGCCACAGCCGATAAAGGACCCGACTGCCTGATCATCATATGGGACTCCTACACCGGGTAGGCTCTGCATGGGGGCTTTCACCGGTTCTCTTTTCTGGGGCGGGTCTGCCCCAGCTCTGGGCCGTGGCGTGGAGCAGCGCTGCAGGGGAAGGCTGCCTGTCCTGTTACCTCCAGGCCTGACCGAGTGACATTGTTGTAGTTGCCTTTAGATGTCATCACATCAGTTCTGACCCATATCGACCCGTGGGCCATAGAGCAGGACACTGCCGGCCTGCACAGCGTCAGTTCTTGTGATGCCTGAGCCCATGGCTGCAGCCACTCTTGGAGAGTCAGTCCATCTCTTGGAGGGTCTTCCTCTGCTCCCCTCGCCCTCCACTTCTCCACGCATGATGTCCTTCTCCAGGGACTGTTCTCCAAAGTAAGTGAGACAGGCTTGACATCCTTGATTTTTTTTCTTTTAAACATTTTATTGAGGGCTCTTACAGGTCTTGTAACAATCCATACATCAATTGTATCAAGCACATTTGTACATAGGTTGCCATCATTCTTTTCCAGACATTTATTTTCTATTGAGCTCTTGGTGTCAGTGCCTACCCGCCTCGCGAACCACACTCCCCCCTGTGGCCTTTGATAAATTATAAATTATTATTATTATACCGACAGCTGTCTCCCTTCCCCCACGGGTTCTGTTGTTCGTCCCCTGTGAGAGGTGGGGTGTGCATGGTCATGTGTCCATCATTGCAGCCAGTTCCCCCTTCCTCCCTTCCTTTCTCCATCTTCCCCCTGCCCTCCTGGTATTGGTACTTCCATTCCTCTTCCTGGATTCCGTGTGTCGTGAGCTCTTATGTCTCAACTGTACCTGTGCACATGCTCCGGTCTAGCCCACAGTGGAAGGCAGGACTGGGGTCATGATCGTGGGGGGCGGTGAGGAAGCCATAAGGCCCCAGAGGAATAGTGTCTGTTTCATTGGTGCTTTACTGCATCCTGATTGAGTCATCCCTTCCATGTGACCCCTCTGTGAAGGGATGGGGCTTTGAGTTTCTGCTCCGACTCCCCTCATTTTCAACAATATGGTTTTGCTTGTTTGTTTGTTTGTTTTGGGTCTTCTGATGCCTGTTACCCGGTCCTGGTGATACTTCATGATCACACAGGCCGGTGTGCTTCTTCCATGTGGGCTTGTTGCTTCTCTGTTGGATGGCCGCTTGTTTAACTTCAAGCTTTTAAGAACTCAGAGACTGTATCTTTTGATAGCCAGGCTCCATCAGCTTTCTTCACCACATTTGCATATGCACCCAATTTGTCTTCAGCAATTGTGTCGGGAGAGTAAGCATCACAGCATGCCAGGTTGTTAGAACAAAGTATTCTTGCACTGAGGGAGGGCATGAGCAGAGGCCTGAAGTCCATCCACAACCTCAGTGTATTGCCATATAAATATATCTACATGGGCCAATACCTCTATTTTTATGAATTAAATGTATTCACATATGTATACACCTATACTTATACATCTATCCATAGCTTTGCTTCCTAGATCGTTCCTGTTTCCTTTCACCTTCCTCCTGCCCCACTGTCACGCATGCCCTTCTTCCACCTCTTAGTACTTCCTCTCAACTAGATTGCTGTTGCTCCAACACCCCCTTGTTGATTTTAATTCCCTAGTTGTTCCCTGTGTATGGCATTGTTTGCTCACTGCTCCCTTTCCCCACCTCCTTCTCCCCCGAGTCCTGCCAGGACCATCAGACCTGTTGCCTTCTCCTTGAGCTTGCTTCCCATGCCTGTCTTATATAAGCAGGCAACCCAACAATAACAGAGACCAAACAAAAAGAAAGCAAAAATTTGAGAAAAGAAAAAAACACATACGTAATTCCAGGCCTCTCCGCTGTCCTTTATGATTGTCTCCCCACTGGTCCTGGACATGCTTGATTTTAAGGAGCATTCCGGCTGTACTTCTTCCTAGACAGTTTTGATCATTCTGACGGTCCAAGGCCGAGTCAATATTCCTCGCCAGCCCTGTGATTCAAAGGCATCCATTCTTCTTTGGTCTCCCCAGTTCAGTGTCCAGCTTTCATGAGGCCATTGGAGTTACCACGGTTTGGGTTAGACAGGGAGCCCTGGTGCCATTGTGGCTGCATTGGCTGCTCACCACAGGGTCAGCAGTTTAAAACTGTCAGCTGCCCCTCGGGAGAAAGACGAGGCTTTCTACTCCTGTACAGAGTTACAGTCTTGGAAACTCATGGGGGCAGTGATGTTGGTTTGGAGTTTTTGTTGAGTCAGGCAGTGGCATCTTTGCTCTTTGACACTCTAAAGAGGTCTTGTGCAGCAGACTTGCCAGTGTAATATGTCATTTGATTTGTTGACCGCTGCTTCTGTGGGAGGATCCCTGGTGGCATGGTGGTTGTGTGTTGGGCTGTGATCCGCAAGGTCAGCAGTTTGAAACTCCCAGCTACTGCTCAGGAGAAAGACGGAGCTTTCTACTCCTGTGATGAGTCCCAGGCTTGGGAACTCATAGGGGTGGTTCTTCCTGTCCTATAGGTCAGCTATGAGGCGGCATCGGCTCTATGGGCAGGGAGTTTGGTTTTGGTTTGGCTCACCTGGGTGTCGATGGCGGTTTTAAGGAAAATGAAATCCTTGACAACTTCAGTCCTTGGCCCTTTTACCCTTGCAGTGCAGTGGGCTATTTAATGTGGCTCTTCCAGCCAGAGTCTCTGTAGCTCCCACCTAACAGCCCTGTCCTGAAAGGTCTGGATCAGAGGAGACCCTGATTGGATTCAGTTGTGAGTGACTGTTGACAGGGTTCATGGTGATGGCCATCCTGCTGGGCATGAAGCGAACCATCTCACAAGCAGGAAGAGAAGTCTCACTCCCAACAAAAAGAAGTGCCAGGAGGGGAGTTCACTTTGACAGCTGTGACAGCAGAGGAGAGATGGAGAAGTAGCAGGACCAGGGGACAGAGCATGAGACAGAGCCGGGGACTTCCCAGCCCAAGAGCATGTGTAGCTGAGTGCTTTGAGCCAGGAGACTGGCTTGTGGTATAGCATGTCTCTGGGCATTTAATTGGGAAGCTGGCTTTGTGATCCATGAAGCTGGAGCTGAGGGCCATAGTTAAGTTAGTAGCCCTTTTGGCATTTTATTGGGAGCCCTAAAAGAGCTTTGTAACATTATCCAAGCAGAGCCGAGGTCAGGTCAAGTGGCCGAGGATCAGAGAGAGGCCTGCCCGCAGGCCCATCAGAGAAGAAACTGTCCTGACTAAACAACTGTATCCTGAGCATTTCGCACCTGAATTGTGACCCGTTACCATCCCCCATAATCATACGAGTTGCCTGTGAGTTCTGGGTGGCCATTCCAATCAACCAAGGAACCTAGCAGAGAAAGAGAGTGTCGTGGGAGGAAAGGTTGGTGTCAGACTGGGGTTCAGAAGCATGGAGGGTGGAGGCACATGCACACCCTGCTTTATGACAACCAGCCTCAGCAGCCGGAGGCGGCCGCCAGATGCGTTCCCCACACCATGTCTTTTCCCCCCACACCATGTCTTTTCCCCCCACACCATGTCTTTCCCCCCCCAC